ATGCAACAATAGTCAACACAACGTAAATATTCACCTGGCGGAGGAGGAGGGAGCCAGTGATTAAATGACAGCTCGTGGCCAGGAGCAGGGCAGCTGCAGAAAGAGCTTCGGAGCAGCAAAAGCCAAACAAGTGGCAACAAAAAAATTAACCCGTAAAAACAAAGTTTTTCACTATAAATCCTTTATATGCGTGGCGGCTAGAGTCCTCTCGTCCTCTGGCTTGAGATGGCTGCCACCTATGGGTCAGATGATTGCCTGCCACCATTAAGCAATTGGTAATTAAATATAATTTATTTTTTTCTAAAAAGTGTAACATTTTGGAAAAACATTTTTACGAAAATAAATTGTCACGCACAACGAGTCTGTGTGCAAAATGTCAGCGCGATTGGATCACGGGAAGTGGGTTAAAAAACGACCGAAAGATTTGCACGGTCGTAAGCGCGCAAGCAAGTGAACTTAATATAAAGAATTTAAAAAATGGTCTAGAGCAGCGGTCTTCACGAATGTTCAGAGGTGGTGGGAGGAGAGGGTCACTTTCACCGATAAGACATCGTCAGCGTGAGGGCCGCCACACGTTTGAAACCATTGAGGGTTTGACAGCAGCACGATGATGGTGGTGATGATGATGGGTGGTGTCTTCACTCGTTGTGTTTCAAGTTTCATTTCAAGTTTCATTTATTAGGTATAGCCCGGTGAGCCATTCGGCTCTTGAATCGGGTGCAACCGCAACAAACAAAAAAACTAAAACATGAACAAGAAAACATTATTATGTTCTATTTTATTATTTTATTATTTCCATTCTACGTGACTTTACCGAAAGAACCAAGAAAAAGAAGAAAACATCTTAAAGTGACTATGTGCAAACAGAAAAAACAGCAAAGTTTTGCTATATTGTGTAATGTCAGGGGCCGCACTCAAGGCCACCAGGTGCCGTCAGTGGCTCGTGGGCCTTGCAGTGAAGAGCAGCGGCCTAGAGCGTGGACGACGAGGACTGACGTGGAGTCCTGAAGCACAAACATCCGTCACCCAAGCCGGCTCTCGTGTCGGGCTGCGATGTAGGCCACGCGGTCGTCTTCACGACGTTAGATTTTTTTTACATTGATTTTGCCCATCAGCAGGGAGTTATCGTATTTGCAGATACGTTTTTTTGGCAAGATAAACAATTAGGGTTTGCCTATTTGTAATAACGCAGTGCTGTAATTTTAACTTGTAATGCGTCGCACGGAGGTGCGAGGAACCACAGACGAAGCAGTGAGCCCGTGCCAAACCCCCACCCCAAAGCTCTGCAGTCCTCTATACATGAAGGTGTTACCAGCCGACGAATGACCGTTGACATGTGGGAGGACACCGGAGTACCCAGAGAAAACCCACGCGTGCGAGGGCGAAACGCTCTATCCCATACAGACGACGCAAGTGGGAGTCCACACTTTGCTGCACCACCACCTCCTGGCGAGCCAGGGTATGGGCACCTTCTAGACCAGGGGTCGGCAACCTACGGCTCCGGAGCCGCATGCGGCTCTTTACGGGCTGCTTCTTGACGATATGTACTGTATGTACAGTATGTACTCAGATGCATTGCGGCTCTTGAAATACTGAATTTTGTACCGAATTGGAAAGAAATGGCTCTTCTTGTTATTTTGGTTGCCGACCCCTGTTCTAGACGCTCGCTGAACGAGAGCTTCACGTGTGCGTGTGAGCCATCAACCCCTCCACTCGACAGTGCTCTCCTGGATTAGAGGCGAGCGTGCAGGAGCTGGATGTCTCATTGCATCGCGCAACTGCGAGAGATGGGTTGGGGAGGCTTTCATCCAGCAGTGGATTGACGTGGACGATGATGATCGATGTCGATTCTTGCACTCACAATACGTGCATTGAACGGTGCACGTACAATGTATGATTAAATTCGTAACATGCCGTTACATGGAGCAGACAAAACTGTTAAATGAGACAAATTAAGAAACAATACCAACGAGATGCCAACAATGAGACAAATAATCCGATTCTTGGAATAAATCGTGACTATTACTGACTGGGGGGCAGGGGTGGATCCATTTAAGACTCTAGTTTATTAGAACTCCACAACATGTCAATGCCACTGGCTTAAATGTATATATATAATAGTATCATTTCTGAGATATGAAGGACGATTTCCCGAAAAAATTGCCAATTATATTTCCTTTTATGCAAAAGTTATTGACAAATGTGTTGTGGAGTTTTACTCATTTGTGCTTGTACACCACTGCGAATACAGCAGCATCACCAAACAATGTCCTGTTTAGGTGTTTTTTCTCCAATAATGGTCACGTGGGAATAACGTGGAATTTCCTTAAAAAATATATCAACTCAGTAAACATAGATTGACAGTAATCTTTCATAAGTGTCATATTTTATTCTCCTTGAATACTTTGCCAATTGTAACTATAAAATTACAAACTATTCGATATTAGTTCATTTTAGAGGTACGACTCCATTAGCTCTTGTGAAAGAGTGAGATGTATTATGGCATCATGGGATCATGACGGCTGGTGATGGCATGGAGGTGCATTTATCCAGCAGTGGATGGACCAGGGCTCACTGTTATTGGGAGACAACGCTTACCTGTTCTGATCCTCAGTGTGTTGGTACGGATGCCAACACACTAACAGCGCGCTGTTACATGAATAAACACACTAGTAACACATCTCATGCCAGCAACCAACCCACTCACAAAATATGCAAATGGAACATTCACAGCACACACGAGGTCTCGCAGCCCATGCCACCTACCGTAAAATGGCCGTAAGTCATCTCAGCAGTTCTCATCCCGTGACTCGCGCCTCCTTACCTTTCAAGGGGGTGCAGTCTGCAGCATCATACCTGTCAACCCATACGGCTTACCCGTATTCTTGTACAGGGAAATTCGAGTTTTCAGGTCCATATGGCATACAGCCGTTTCAATACGGGCAAACTTTGTTTTGTCAAATTTCTGTTTCTCCCTTGTGATTGGACTTGGTAGGATGAACGTGAAGATGTATAAGGGGCACGGTGAGACCAATAAGGTCAGAATTGGTCTGTAATAAGGTTGGCACCGATAAGGGGTTGCCAGGCATGCAGCATGGACACCGTGCAGGAGAAATGTCGAACGCGTGCGCGCAAACGTCGGCGCCAAAACGCGGCGACGAAACACCCCCACAGCGCGCAACATGAAACAAACGCCTTGACAACACCGCGAGACGTGTGCAAGAGCGTACTCTGTGGTATTGTGGCTTTATTAACCTGGGCCGAGCGGGGGGGGGCAAGCAGCCCCAGTGGTCTGGATTAGTGGCGGGGGCCGCCATACCAGAGATGTTGAGAACCACTGACTTGGCGCCGTCTTCATGCCGACGCTTGCTTGACTTGACCGACCGGGGCACCAAATTGTTGTTGTTGTTGTGTGCACTGGTCAAGCGGCCCCAGTGGTCTGGATTAGTGGCGGGGACCGCCATACCAGAAATGTTGAGAACCACTGACTTGGCGCTGTCTTCATGCCGACGCTTGCTTGACTTGACCGACCGGGGCACCGAATTGTTGTTGTTGTTGCGTGCACCGGTCTTTATCTTGAATCTTCAAGAGTCTTATTGTAATTGGTAATTAATATTTTGATTTAAAGCTTTCGTGACTGCAGGGATTCATCTTCTTGGTTCTTTCGGTAAAGTCACGCAGACGGGAAATAATAAAACATAAAATAAATTCTCACGACGTTTCGGCCACAACGCAAGCAGCCGTCCTCAGGTGAAGAACAGGACTGTCGGAAAGACAGCGTCCGAATTGGATGCTGTCTTTCCGACAGCCCTTCTACGCGACTTTACCGAAAGAACCAAGATGGTAATTAATACCTAATTGAACTAAATATTTACTTGCAATGTGACGTATAAAAGGCTAAATACAAAAGGTATTTCATTTTAGAACTCCCGAAGGACCTGTGTAAATGAGCACGTGGCAGAGCGGAAAGAACATTTTTCAATAAATTAGATCAGAAGTGAAGTGGTTCACGATGTGTTTGCATGACTGCGCTAAAAACCTTGCTCTGGTTTCCTGTCAAATCCAGCATTAAGTACAATGCCATACTCTTGTCATCTTTCAAGGTCAGTCAGCATATCTCTCCACTCTACTTAAACCTCTGTCCACGGAGAAGTGCCGTGTTCTTCAGAGCACGTCCCAAGATCTTATCGTCCCCGCAACCGGGAACCGATCCTGGGCGAGTGGCATTCCTCCGTAGCTAGATTTGAAGCTTTCGTGACTGCAAGGATTCATAATCTTAGTTCTTTCGGTAAAGTCACGTAGGTAAAAAATGAAATTAAAATTAATAAAAATAAAACAATGAAAATCACGACGTTTCGGAGGCAACACAAGTCTCCGTCATCAGGTGGGACCGTCACAGCCAGATTAGCTGCAGCTACCTACGTGACTTTACCGAAAGAACTAAGAGTATTCCTCCGTAGCTGTTGCTGTCATCTGCTCCGCACACAAAGCATTCAAACTGCCTGAAGCTTCACGCTGGCCACACGACGAACCACCAGCCTGCGCTCCGTGCCTGGACCAATCAACTTCAAGGACAGTGCATCCATTATCAGAGTTATGTTTTTTGTTTGCATTATGACTGCAGGTATTGTGGTCTATGCAAACATGACTCCTTGTAAAAAAAGTGTCAGTTTTGTTGCCAGTTAGAAGGGTCAAAAAACAATTATCATATTTTTTACTGGCAAATGAGGTTCCAATGGAGTTACAAATTGTTTATTATTTAACGGCTGTCGGTCTCGTGCGCTTTGCTGGCCTTGATATTACCCTCTCGTATGTGTTTTTTTTCTCTCTCCAAATTTCCTCCCACAAATGGTATTCGCCAAACATCCCAATGCAGGCCCCTCCTGAAAAGACAGTCTTGAGACGTGGTGATGCTTTTCTGGGCACACAGAGGTCATTGCAATATCAGTAGTCCCCTAACACTGCTATGCCCCAGACATAACTTACAACAAAGTAAACACTTCACGAGTAAACTGCATTTATTAAATGCAATACAAACTAAACCACAGAACAAGACATGTACTGCAGCCGCAAACACAGTACATGTTACAATCATAACTTACATGGTACAACATTTGGACCAATCTTAAAGATTGGAGATTGAACATGATCTTTTTTTTTTCTATTTTTGTTTTTGCTCAGGCGACTTGTGTGCATCATGTGCACACACATGTTATCTCCTACAGTGCATTTCACACCTGATAAGATTATCATTTTTGTTTAAAGTGGCTCAAGCTCAGAATGCAAATCATTTAAAGTGACGCTAACGATGCTAATGGTAATCATAAAATAAACTGATAAAAATAACATTGTCTTTCATCATGCAGAACACCGGACCATCACGTGTGTGTGCCTGTCCTGGCATCGGATAAACCTTTGGTGGATGAGAAATCAGCCTTGTCAATACGAGATTCCTTGCTCAGTTTCTGCTTTAAAGCTTCGGTTCACATTGACTGGAAGCAGTGTTTTAGGAAATGATGCACCAGCCATCATTTTTTGAAGATGATTGCCACGGGCGTACTGTGCCAATCAATACGGCACGTTATATGTCTAAATCCCGTCGCTCGGTGCCTTAAACGTGCTACTCTACGAACCGCAACAGAAACTATCGCAGCTGTTTTACTTTCACTCCTTTGGGCCTTGCTCTGGAGCAGCTTTAAGCTCTTGTTAGTCTTGACTTGACCGACCGCCACGGTGGCGATGTGTTAACTACCTCGCCTGGTATACAGGAGGTCGTGGGGTTGATTCCGACCCTGACGCCTGCTGCATATTTGGAGTTTGCATTTTCTCCCCGTGCAAGCATGGATTTTTCTCCGGGTCCTCCGTTTTTTCCCTCCACAATTAGAATCAACACGCGTTTAGAGTATTTGGCTGCGATGAATTTCCACTTGATAAGCCGCTTCGTTGGGCTATAATTTGTGGCAAAGTCGCTTCTGAAAAAGAGCTATATAGTAAAGTGGGCCTTACCTGGTAAAATAAAAAAAAAGTTTAGTTTAGAATAATCGAAAGGGCCACGGAGCCCACCCATTCGAACGATTGAAACCTCATGCTTAGTCAAGTTATATGGGTGCAACGCCAAACATTTACTCTGATGATACTGCAAAACCAATTCCAGCCACTGGTATTACAATATTACCCCTGCTTTAAATATATTTTTTTATAATGTGTGCTACCCACCAAGCCAATACGGTTTAATACACGTTCTCTTTCAGTTTTATAATTGATTGAAAATGCCACGATACACACATGCACATTTAATGAGCCAATCAGACTAAGGCCTTTGTTTCAAATGTAATTTCACTCCTTAATCTGTGCTCTAGCTTCAGAAGGGAGGACCCTCCTGAAAAAGAGTCCAATGACTAAGTGTGGCTTCCTGAATAAATAACTTAACACAAAAACAAGAAGCGGATTAACACTTACCATCATATTTAATTGAAAATTTTTATCATTGGAAATACGGGCCAACAGAAAGCCGAGAACCAATGTGCCATGGGTCGTGGAAATGCTCACGTCTGTAAGCCACTGACCCATTTCACCTTCAGGCCTAAACCTAACACAATTCAAGGCAACTAAGGCACATAACAGAAGAGAGGCTTAGACTTCGACAGAAAATCCATTGGGAAGGAAGAGCCTGTGGAGCAGGAACTCCGACAGGCAGCATCAAAGGGACCTGGTTAAAAAGGGAAGGCTGAGACCAGCGCTTCTCAACCTGCCTCAAGACAGCGAAGCTATTCGCGTCGCTTTCGCATTCCACAGGCCCAAGTACGGTGGGAAGTGCTGTGTGCAGTGATAAATGTGGAAGCAGTGGCATGCATTTAGGACTATACCAATGCTTGCGCTTTGAGGACCTCAATGTTTCTCGCAGAACCACTGGTGCAAGTAGGAGAGAGCGTGTATTTGGTTTCACACTTGTGTGTTTGGCTCAAGTAATACAGGGGTCTGGGGTTGAAAGGAACGATGGAGGGGAGGGGCTTGTGATGGAGGGCCGTGTGCACAAAGGGAGGGGCTTATGAGCTCTTCTTGACCGTGATGACGAGCGGCCCAACGTTGTCTCCCGACGTCTCATTGTGTTTGTTGTGTGTCCCGTCGCAGTAAGGGAACTGCAGAGGGTGGGCAGGCAAGGGCGACACAAGCAGGCACAAACGTGAGACACTACGGCTTAAGCTATTATGCAGAACCATTCCACGGTGATAACATGCTCGTTTGTGCTCCGTTATCGACTCTATACGCAAGGGGCCAATGTACCTTTTCCAACGGAATGTTGTAGCTTTCCAGATTGGCAAGAAGCTCAACGAACAAGTTAATAAAAATCCCTCTTATCGAATGTTTGTATTGTCCTGTTTTAATATACTAATATTGAACATGTACATGTGCAGCTCTTTCGTCAATCCACTGCTGGATGAGGACCTCCCCACGCTGTGCAGGTTATGGACGTTAATTGATCACACATCATGCTGGCCAGTGTGGGAAAGAGGACAGGGAGCATAGACATTGGAGCTTAGTACAGTACAATGGATTTTTCTGCATTAACCCCTGCTCAGAATATAGCCCCGCAGTAGCTTACACTTGTTTATATGCATGGTGATCATCCATCCAAGTAATATCGAGGTTAAAATCTGCTTAGTTTCCGAGATCCGATGACACTGGGTGCATTCCTGGTGATTTATTCATGGGAATTATTTAAAAGTATATTAAGATATATTCATATGGGTGCGTAATATTTTTTAACTAAAAAACTTTATTGATTTATTTTACCACTGAGCCATTAACTTATTTTTTCAGAAGCGACCTGGCCACAAATGATAGCTCAACGAGGTGGCTTATCGTGTGAAAATTACTCGCAGAGAAATACTCTAAATGCATTATTCTAAATGTGGAGGGAAAAACCGGAGGATCCAGATAAAAATGCACACGACAGGCGTTCGGGTCGGGATCAAACCCACGACTTCCTGCACGCCAGGCGAGGGAGTTAACATCTTCGCCACCAAATATCCTGTTCTTCAGGCTTCTGTACTACTCTTGAACAAATGTAATGTTATAATTTGGTGATAAAAACAACTTGGAAGCAATCGTTTATCTGTCAAGGCAACTGCTCTGGGACGCTTCACAGCAAACCACAACGATACTTCTCAGCAGCCAAATGTTCTACGAGGTTATTGTCAAAAGCGCTAAATTATAATACTGCTGGCGCTAGGTACACGTCCTTCCAATAGTATCCTGTGTTTTAGAATAGACCAGCATTGCTTTGCAAACTTGTGAAACCTAAGCCCTATGTTTATACCGACCATACTTTTTCACCACTCTTGATAAAAAACAAGTCCTGAAAATCAAGACAGCTTCCTGCAGGTCAAATGGTATTCCTAACCAGCGCATAAGGATATGATGCACACTGTGGATATCCATATGTATGAATATACATCAGCCTTCTGGGGATTATTATTAAACTGGGGAATGTTACATTTAATTTGCCAATTACTCTAAAGTACACATTTGAATTGGTTTTATCATTTCTGGAATGTAAAATAGGTCATCTTGGAAAGGTGCTTTTCGACCGATGTCCATTGCTCTGCCAGTCTAACGCAGTTTTTGAACTTGAATTTCACTCGAATTGGATATGAAATGTGAATTTAATATTTTCCCCTTATAATTTTTATAATAAAATCACGTTGTGCCTAAATCTGTGACTGTTCTCAAGTACACTGTGTTGACCAGGCTGACACTATCATCAAAGACTGCACAAAGAACCACCACATTAAATTAGATTTTTCGCTTAAATAACTTTGACTACCATGCAACACACCTTTCTCGGTAACAGAACATGTGAGGAAGTCTGCCCCCTAGTGTGTCGCTAAAACAGTCGATAGAAGAGATCTTAATACTGTAACAATGCTTACATGTATAGAGTGTCTTTCATTGACGATCTCAAAGACACGGCAGCAAACACTCAGCAAAAAAAATAACGATCATATCTGCTTCGGTTGAACATTCTCAAGCACGCAGGGTTGATGCATCGCCCTCAAACACGAGAGTTCTCAGCAGAGGTCGCAACCGGGTACCCGATACCCGTACCCTACCCGATACCCGGCTACCCGTACCCGGCCACGGGTACGGGTACCCGTTTGCGACCCTGGTGCGGCCGGGTATGGGTACGGGTACCCATTTGCGACCCTGGTGCGGCCGGGTACGGGTAAGAAATCAAAACCCGTTTGCGACCTCTGGTTCTCAGACAGACGCAACACATCAACTTGTGACATGACGACAGCTGAAGTCAATAAATGCTTGACTGAAGAAAAAGAAACGGACACACACTCGAGTTGACCCTTCCCCACCGCCGCCGCGGCACCACACCTTCTTGGAGCGCCAGCACCGGCAGAACGCAGACTCGTTGCCCAGGTCGGACGTGTCCATGGCGTGCACCACCTTGGGGTTCTCCTTGTCGATGGAGGGGTTGATGCGGCAGCACGTCTTGGCGCAGCACCGCCCCGGGGGTGCGCGCCACGCGCGGTAAGCCAGCAGCCCCACGAGCGTGACGCCGCCAACCCCTGCGGCGATCTTGAGCCAGATGGAATCTGCCTCGGTGGGGAGAATCGTCGCAAAGTCAGCCGAACGCCGCTAATCAATGTCTCTTTTGTTCTTGTGATTAATTTGCTTTCGGTAAAAGCTGCAAAGGATGTGGGCTCCCTGGTCTAACTTCACGTCAAGTGTGTGAGCCAATTATATTGGTCATGCCGCTGGTTCTAAGACTTAATTTCTAGGTGTGTAACGTTGCATCACGTGTATCAACTAAAATTGATTCTTATACCCATAATACACGCGTGGAATCATGAGTGTGAGAATCGATTAGGACTTTTCGAGATTATATGGTGTTAGATTTAGGGAATGCAGTAAACAAAACGTCACATGACACAAAAAAAAATACAATAAATGAAAAAAACGAGGAAGTACAATTTAAGAAAAATCACCTCTACACTATGAGATCTCTTTTACCAGTGGCAAAATATAGTAGTAGGTTTTTACCCTTTTAAACTGGTACAAAACTGACACCTTTATTCAAGGCATCATGTTTGCAATAACCACAACACAAGTAGTCATCTGGTCCAACACCAATGGGGACTAGGCTCTAAAGAAAACCGTCTCGGGTGTGGACCAATCAACTTCAAGGACAGTGCATATTATTATCATTATCAGAGTTGCTTCTTTTTGTTTGCTTTTTTGACTACTTGTGTTGTGGTTATTGCAAACATGATGCCTTGAATAAAGGTGTCAGTTTTGTACCAGTTTAAAAGGGTAAAAACCTACTACCAAAAATCACCTCTTCAATATAATCGCAACCCTGAACTTTGACAGTGTGTTGAATTGCTAGTGTGGGTTATGAATTACATACCCCTCTTTATAATCACTTTAAATGTTCATTGTTTGGTAGGAGTAGTGAATGGTATAGTACATGCTCATTATATCTGTCACATGGAGGCAAGTGGAAGTACAGCTTAACAGCTATTTAAATAAGCAGGTTGGCACATAACATTTAAAGTATTTTTTTTATCAGTCTTTTGTGCTTGTGTCGATTTATCAGTACGTGTAAATTTAGCCTCAATGTGTATGGTATGTATAACCATGAGCACCATCGTAAAGTACAAGCTTATTTCATTTAAACAGGTGACAATTCAACAAACCAGGATAGTCTCATTTGCAGGAGTGACCTGGACCACCAAAATGACAAAATCAAATCAAATAAAGTGCAACAATGAGGCAAATAGAAATCAGAACTAAAACACAAGCACATTACTTCCACCACCACTGTGAAGCAAGAACAGATAGGGTCGTTTGCAGAGGTTAGTAATCCATTTTACATATTTTTGCATCTGTCAAAAACTTCAGATAATTTGTTCCAACTGACTGAAGCATTTATTGCACACATGGTATAAATGTGATATATCCTAACAGAGACCACACCACTGCACAGATTGTTTGGATTAGCATATAGTGTACCAATGTTTTTTTGAAACCGCATATGCAACGCACAGTCCCAAAAGGCCCAAACACCAAGTGGCCAGCAACAAACAGCACAATTGAAAGTGTAACGTATAAAAGTGAATATGCTTGTTGAGAATGTGCAAAGTTACAAGAACCTAAACAAAGGGATCAAGGGAAGGAATTCCACAGGGCAGCACTGCAAGGGAAGACGCAGAAAGATGAGTGCTGTGACCTTGCAGTATGGTGGTAGAACACAGTGTGGGTGAGACAACAGGCAGTCTGGCAGACCAAGTCCCCAACTAGGCCTCAGCAAGGTAAAAACAACGAGCCGACCTTTACCCTACCTTTTACCTTACCACAATACAATCACTCGAACCTTACTTTTTACCCTTTAGCAAGGTAAGGTCAAAGGTCAAATGCAACGAGCCTACCTTTACCCTTCCTTTTACCCTTACCCCATACAAGTTACCCGATTACAGGGTAATTACTGGGGTACTACACATAAAAAAGGTCGAGCGCTTTATTCATATAGAATACTCTCGATGATTCAAATTTTAAATGGAGGCCTACGGACTGCGCCACGGAGCTTTTAGCGAGCGGTAAACAAGGTATTTACCGGGTAATACTTCGCGCTAGCTTTACCCTACCGGGTAATTCTTCCGCGCTACCTTTACCCGACCCTTGACCTTACCCCTTGGCATGTTGACACCTTTAACCTTTACCCTTTTACCCGATAAAAAGGGTAATTTACCTTACCTTGCCGAGGCCGATCCCCAACATTGGTGTGGGGGAAACAATGAGTACAGTTTACAGAAGCAGTAACCATAACAGTAGCGACATAACCCCACAGAGGTCAATGTTGCCTTATCGGTTTTTCATTTCAGAAGCACCATTCACGTAAATGTAACGCCACAACATTTCCCGGTGGTGAAAATATAAGAGTCAAAATGCTCTTCGTCATCAGCAACCACGATCAAACCACTGCTTTATTAAGGCCACATGCACTTACACATTGACAACATTCTCTCCCATACAAACACTAGCAAATTACAATTTGTACATTTAGATCTTCCATATCCACATAAATATTAAAAACCACTGTGAGCATAAACACATTCCAATTCCATCGACAAATGCAGAGAGAACACTCCTGCTATGCAACAAATGTGCTATTATGTTCGTGCTAATCCATACTCTTTATAAGCTCTGCCATCTAAATTAGTCCCTTATTACCCAAAGCACCATGCATTGCTTTCTTTCAGAAACTTAACTCTAATGTCAATTAACTCATGCTGAACAAATACATTCCAACAGTTATAATGCATATTCACATAGAATAGTTCAGCGGTAGAGCAAGTGGCTCGCAATCAGAATGTTGTGAATTCAATTCCTGGTTGGGGATTAACTCAGCCATAATCCCCCCACGATCGATAAAATTAGTACCAACTTGTGGTTAAAGTAACAGTGTTTGTCCGATAAACTGACCATAGGAATACAGCGTTTCCACCACTGGATTCAGGGCTGTAATGAGATAAGCACAACCTCACTTGTTAATTTGAGCAGGGAATCACTTTTAAGTATTTATGCAATAATTTAGATTGTACTCATCGATATCATTGGTCAAATTAAATCGAAGGTCCTGTGTAGGGTGAGGGGGGTCTGCATTGGGAGTATTTAGATGTGTTGGTGGGTAACCCAGATCCTCATACCTGGACCTTCCACCCTACCCGTCTCGGTCCTTCAATAGAGAAACAATGTAGCTCTCATTTTAACACGTCGGCTTTCGCAACCAATATTATTCATAACACTGGTCAACACACTTTTTCTGGCATTAGGTATTCCAACGGTTTTAAGGTAATTTTGGGGTGCTGATTCCAAATCTGGCATCAGTTTTTGTCTATCACATCAGGTTTTTGAGATATCAAATATTGCATTTTCAATAAAAACTGCAGAAGAAAAATATTAAATAAATTTGGATATCTACATAAAATTATATTATAAACACATTATCCTAAAAAATACAGCACCATATTTTAACACTAAAGCAGTCACTGACTCGCAACAACTTGCAATCATAAGTGACAGTGTTAATTTCTGGTAAAATCAATGAAAATGGGGTATGCCGATAGCATAAAAATGATGTGATAGAGCAAATCTGAGATCATATTTGGAATCAGCACCCTGAAATAAGTCTAAAACAGCTGCAAAAGTCGAGGCCAGAAAAAAATGTTTTTTTTTTGTTGACCAGTGTAATCAACGTTAGATCGCGTTATATATAAATGTGTCGTAACCCTCCACCACCCGACACAGTCAATCAGCAAAAAAGTGTCACAACGACTAGTGCTGCACTAATAACGAATTGACATGGTATGTTAACGTAACAACCCTTACTAATTGTATATGTCAGGTGGTGGTGGTGGGTTTAACGACACATTTATAGACTGCAGGTCACGGCGCGTCTCGACTTTCGGCTCGTTCCCTCGGCACTGATCCAATCCTTTATATTAATCTTCTTGGTTCTTTCGGTAAAGTCACGTAGAAGGGAAGTAATAAAATAATAAAAATAAAACATAATAAAACAATATGTTTTAGTTTTATTTTTTATAGTTTTTATAGTTTTATTATAACATATGTTTTAGTTTTATTATTATTTTTATTATTTTATTACTTCCCTTCTACGTGACTTTACCGAAAGAACCAAGAAGATGAATCCCTGCAGTCACGAAAGCTTTAAACCTTAATATTAAGTTCACTTGCTTGCTTGCTTACGACCGTGCAAATATTTCGGTCGTTTTTTAACCCACTTCCCGTGATCCAATCGAGCTGACGTTTTGCACACAGACTCGTTGTACGTGACAATTTATTTTCGTGAAGAATTTTTCCCAAAATTTTCCACTTTTTAGGAAAAAAATAATTTCATTTTTAATTTAAAATACCAATGTGATAAAAATGAAACTCTTACTCAAGAAAAACAGAAATGAATAATAAAATAAAACCGATGCCACGCATATAAAGGATTTATAGTGAAAAATTTTGTTTTACGGGTTAATTTTTTAATTCCCTCCCGTCGTCTCGTTGTCAAAACTTTCTGATGATAATCTTCTTAAATTCCACAAACGCGTTCACTGTTATTCATTGCGGTTTTAATCGCGGGTTTGTTGCGTCTTGGCCCTATGCGCAACTACCGTGGCAACAAGCTACACATATATTAGACACACACACACAGAAAACATCTCGATAGAGAATCCCTATTAAGTAGCCAAAGACCCCACCGGGGATCCCGACCGTGACCCCCCTACGCCGTCGCCCTCAACGGGGCGGGGATTCTAGGCAAGACCGAGGTCTCAGGCGCGGCCTAGTCGCGGCTTGACCCCTGTCCGAAGCGACCGCGCGCGGCACGACTCGGAACGCTGCGCCGCGACGAAGAGGAGGGGGCGGCGGCGACGACGTCTGTTGTGCTCACCTCGCAACGAATTCATGGCTCCGTCTCCTTCCCTGCCTCGGACGACGACGACGACGATGCCGCCGCCGCTGCTGCTGCTGTTGCTGCCGCCCGGAGCTGAAGGACGCACGTCAATTGCCTCCCTCGCACGCGATTGGTCGACGAGAGACACGCGTCAGAGCCTAGGGCGACGCTGATTGGTCCGACGAGCTGTTTGTTGATGTCGGTGACGTCACGCGTCATTCGCCTTCAACGCAACGTCGGAGATGACGGGGATTGGCGGATGGAGGAATTGGGATCGGATTAGTGAGCACTCTAATTAACCCGCTAGAATGCATTATAATTTTATTAATAAACACTACAGTTACCCCATAAAAATGCATTCAAATTTTATTAATAAATACACCAGTTACCCCATAAGAATGTATTCTAATTTTATTAATAAATACACCAGTTACCCCGTAAGAATGCATTTTAATTTTATTAATAAACGCTACAGTTACCCCATAAGAATGCATTTTAATTGTATTAATAAACGCTACAGTTACCCCATGAGAATGCATTCTAATTTTATTAATAAACACTACAGTTACCTAATTCTAGATTTGCCTCCGAAACGTGATTTTTATTTTATTTTATTTTCATTAATTTTGATGTTTTACCTACGTGACTTTACCGAAAAAAACCTAATACTACAGTTACCCCATAAGAATGCATTCTAATTTTATTAATAATCACTACAGTTACCCCATAAGAATGCATTCTAATTGTATTAATAAACACTACAGTTACCACATAAGAATGCATTCTAATCTTATTAATAAATACACCAGTTACCCCATGAGAATGCATTGTAATTTTATTAATAAACACACCAGTTACCCCATAAGAATGCATTCTAATTGTATTAATAAACGCTACAGTTACCCCATAAGAATGCATTCTAATTGTATTAATACACACTACAGTTACCCCATAAAAATGCATTCTAATTTATTAATATACACTACAATTACCCCGTAAGAATGCATTCTAATTTTATTAATAATCACTACAGTTACCCCATGAGAATGCATTCTAATTTTATTAATAAACGCTACAGTTACCCCATAAGAATGCATTCTAATTGTATTAATAATCACTACAGTTACCCCATAAAAATGCATTATAATTGTATTAATAAGCACTACAGTTACCCCATAAGAATGCATTCTAATTTTATTAATACACACTACAGTTACCCCATAAGAATGCATTCTAATTGTATTAATAAATACTACAGTTACCCCATAAGAATGCATTCTAATTTTATTAATAAACACTACAGTTACCCCATAAGAATGCATTCTAATTTTATTAATAAACGCTACAGTTACCACATAAGAATGCATTCTAATTTTATTAATAAACACTACAGTTACCACATAAGAATGCATTCTAATTTTATTAATAAATACTCATTACCCCATGAAAATGCATTCTAATTTGGTTAATACGCGCTCTAGTTACCCCATAAGAATGCATTCTAATTTGATTAGTAAGCATTTTAATTAACCCACGAGAATGTATTATAATTTGATTAGCGATCACGTTAATTAACCCATAAGAATGCATTCTAATTTGATTTATAAGCACTCCATTTACACCATAAGAATGCATACTCATTTGGTTAATAATCACGTTAGTAAAATAATAAGAATGCATTTTTATTGTATTAGTAAGCACTATTTTATTAATTGCTTATATTTAGTGACTTGCTTATCTTTTTTCTATTTTGCACTCCTATCGTTTTTTTAATGGTTTGCTGTTGTTACTTGCTGACCTGGCCCGTACTGGACATCTGTGAAAAAAGAACTTCATAGCTCATCGGATTCCTCCAGTCTAAACAAAGATTCCGATTCTGACATTCTTGCACCTGACAATGATTGATGTTCAGAAGCTACTGTAGATGCCAATCAGTTTAACACGTAGGCTTTCGCGACCAATGTTATTCATAATCAACGTTTTTGGGTTTAGATCGCGTTATTTATAAATGTGTCGTAACCCTCCACCACCCGACACGGCCAATCAGTAAAAAAGTGTCACGTTGACAAAGACAAATAGTTCACTGCTTTAGCCCACCGGTACTCAAATTGTAAATGTTGTGGCTTCAACACACCGGTGGGCTAAAGCAGTGAACTATTTGTCTTTGTCAACGTGACACTTTTTTACTGATTGGCCGTGTCGGGTGGTGGAGGGTTACGACACATTTATAAATAACGCGATCTAAACCCAAAAACGTTGATTATGTAGATGCCAATGTTGAGGTCTGCGAGCCACGATACGGCTTCACAAGAGAGCTGGTGTAGGTTTGCTATCCTTCTGTTGAAGAAGAGCAGATTAGAGCGGTTCACTACATGGCCAATATTTTGGGTTGCATGGACAAAATCGCACTGTCGCTTCATGAAGGAGATCTGCGCATCGGCCTGTTGATGTTCTGATGTGGGTTGACGGTTCCACCACCTGTGTCTCCGCGGGGCAATGTCAAAGCCAGGAGGTGCAAAAGTTTGGGTCTGGAATGATGTGTTTATTTTGGACGTCCACGTTTTTCCACTCAGCATGCTTTCGGACTTGGGTGAGATTCTAGGATGGTGAACAGAAGGAGGACCAGGAGTTGAGTTTGGCGGCGAGGTACAATATTGAGGTCTTGGTTGATGATGGGAAGGTTTACTGTCATTAGTAAGAAAACATGTAAACACTCTCTTGCAGTTTGCGTGTCTGGGTAGATGTTTGGTGGCGAAACGATCGCCAGAAGAGGGAGTCAGGGGATTGGTGCCGGTTTAAGAGTTCCGGTTATGATGCATATTTCGTAATCTAAGTGTGCATTTAGCAGTGTTGTGTAAGAGTTCCCGAACCAGGCTGGAGCAGAGTACTGCACTTTGCCACTGAGTGAATCAAGTGACAGAGTGGCAGTTCACAGCACATCAGCTGAAACGCGCCATGTTATTTGTAGCAAGAGGATTTTTCATTTAGGTTGATCACATATCTATTCAATGTTGGACTTCAAGGACAGGCTGCTATTCAAGATAGTCTCAAGTATTTTTTTCAGTGGGGTCATAGCGCACTATGCTACCTCAGGACACATCAAGGTTGACATTTTAAGTATAATCGTTGATGTGAAGAGTACTTGTGGTGGTTTTGGAGGGCTTGGTTGGAGTTTTCAGCGATTTAAATATTCCTCACTTTAATACGTAATTCTGGCAAATCGCCTGATGAAGCTGGTTGTAATAACCAGCGAAACGTCGTTCTCAAATGGTAAATGTCGTGGGTTTACTCTCCAAAACACCAGTGCGCTGAAGTGGTAACTAACTGGCACGTCTTGTTTACATGAGAAACCTTACTAATTGGCTGTGTAGGGTGGTGGTGGGTTAACAACACATTTACATTGCGATCTTCACCCAAAAAAACCTGTATTATGAAATATATCTCCAATAACAGTATAACAGCTGTCAGATTATTGGCAATGTTCTCTAGATTTGTGCCCTATTCAACAAGGGCTATGTCATATGCATGCCTGAACTTGCTCAATTATTTACATGGCAGGCCACATATGTATGTTGAATCGTGACCGTGCTATTACTGGCCTTTGAAGGGGGCGATTGTTCATACTTCTCTTGCGGCTGTGTGTTACCGGCAAGGTTGTAAGTATGCTTGCTAACCATGGCATCGAGTAAGTGAACGGCATCTGATGATTTTGGACAACTTCAGCAGCAGGCCAGGATGCCAAAAGTGTTGCAGGCAGCGGAAAGGGCAATCATTGCTGTGCCATATTTTTTCGTTGTTGTTGACGCTGAAAACCGGCTTCTATGAGGATGGTGAAGGCAACGATCTGTTTGTAGCAGCAGCTACGGCCAGTTCGAAATCCGGCTCGTTCAGGAGGCAGTTGGGGGTGGGGGTGGGTCGATAATGGGGCAAAGTTTGGCGAGCGTGGCACATTCCATCGGCTTGGAGGTGGAAAAGAAACAGAATTAATATCGTCATCTAGGCAAATGGACGTCGTTATTTCAAATCCAGACATGATCAGTAAGTGCTGTAGTTTCCCTATAAGAATGCATTATAATTTGGCCAATAGGCACTTTAGTAGTAAGCACTTTATAGCGCTTACAGCTCAAGTAGTAGTAAGTAAATTTGTGATTTGGCGGTAGAAGTAAGCACTTTAGTGCTTGTGATGGCACTTTAGTGCTTACGACTACCAAATCACTAAAGTGCACACTACTCCATGTGGTAAGCACTTTACATGGAATGGCTGTGCTGATCACTGCAACCAGAATTTGCCACATTATAAAATTAAGCACAACTTATTTATTTGGGATTACAGTACATTGCAGCCATATCCCATTCCTGGCAGATTAGTGCCCAAAATGGGACATTTTTGTCAGTATCAAAATAGGAAATAATAATATTAGGTTTTATCCTTTCTGGCAATAAACCGGGTGTTAGGATGGTCAAACATCAAATATAAACTTTTTGCACGGAATCATGTCTGCATTAACCACACGTACGGAACTGATTGTGTTTCAAAGACAATGCATCTAATATCGGAGCATGTTTGTTTGCATGTTCATCACAAGCACGTGTGGTTAATGCAGGCATGATTCCTGGCAAAAGGTTTATATTTGGTGTTTGAACATCTTAACACCTGATTTGAAGCTTTCGTGACTGCAGGAATCCATACGCTTTGGTTCTTTCGGTAAAGTCCAGTAGGTAGAAAATAATAGATCACGACGTTTCGATCGCCAGGTGGGACAACCACAGCAAGAAAAAACTTTTTTCTTTCTGTCGTTGTCCCACCTGATGACGTGACTTTACCGAAAAAAACAAAGAGTTCCTTACACCTGTTTTATTGCCAGAAAGGGTAAAAGGTATTCTCATTTTTTCCCATATATTATTGTCCGTTCGCACGCCAGGTGCCAAGTCACATTGTGCTCACATTGACAGCTGCCACTGTAGGTGCCTTTTAAGTGTTTATAATACGTAGGTTATGGAAAGTGCATGCAAGACAAATCACTATTAACCTATGCGAATACATCTGCATATCGATGAGTCGGCACTTTAGTCAATATGTGGGAATGTTTTGTAATGCGATGAGTGAGCGCGTTCGCCAACCGATCACAATGCATTGCACGTCACAATGGGACGTCACGCGTCATATCCGTGTTCATTCCGCAAAAAAAATCGCACGTGGCGTGGAACTTTGATAAGCACGACGAACGCGTCAAACTGTGCGAATGTAAATAATCCTAAAATACGACGTCAATATTCTCTAGTGTCCTTAAATCCGACAATCATGGTTTATAGCCCAAACGTTTAAATACGATACAATCGAAACGTCGTGAGAATTGTGTTGTTTTATATATTTATATTTTTATTATTTTATTGTTTACCCTTCTACGTGACTTTACCGAAAGAACCAAGAATAATTAATTTTAAATCTCGATTTAAAGCTTTCGTGACTGCAGGGATTCATCTTCTTGGTTCTTTCGGTAAAGTCACGTAGAAGGGAAATAATAAAATAATAAAAATAAAACAATAAAATAATATAAGAATATAAGAACCAAGAAGATAATTTTAAATCGTGAAATTAATCGAATCGATAATCACGCCCACACGCTGCGGCATGGACGAATATGATTCCAAATGAATCGATTCCCGACGCGTACTCGATTTCACGCGTGCGTGCCCGCCAACGGTAACGTTCGACACGCGGATCGATTCCTCACCACGAATCGCCGAATCACTTAATCACGTGGGGGGGCCGTGCCCCGCAAAATAGTGCCGGCGCGCGCGCGCCACCGCCCCCGCCTGGGATTAGAGGGGGGGGAGGGGGGGAGATGGAGCCCCGCACTATTTTCCCCGCGCGGAGGGACGCACGCCACGTGCGCGCGCGCGCTCGCCCCCCCCCCCCCGCCCACTACGACACACTCCCCCCCCCCTCCGCCTTATAAAAGCGGTGGGTGGAGTCCTCCGCGGCGGTGAAGCGTCCGGGCCAAATTCAAGCTCAAGAGGTTTTTTTCTTCTTCTTCTTCTCTCGGTGACGCCGCGCGAACGCAGCGAGAATAATTTCCCTTCCGAACGCGACGGTGTTTAGCGAGGGGGAAACGTCGTCGTCTCGCGAGTTCTGTTGGCGTGAGCGAGAAAGAAGAACCGCGGGGGGTGGAGGCGAGAGAAAAAAATAATGGCTTTGAAGAGAATTCACAAGGTAATTTAAGAGCTTAATAAGAGGCGACTTGGGTGACACGGCCGCCTCGACTAGTGTAGGCCTCTACTGTGTGGTTGTTGGGGTGAGGGGAGATGAGTGAGTGGAGAGGGGAGGGGAATGAAGAGGAATGAGTGGAGGAGGAGAGGGGGGGAATGAAGAGGAGCGAAGAGAATGAATGAGGAAAGGAGGAGATTGTGGCGACGAATGGGGAGTGAGGGGGACGAGGTGAATGGTGACTTGGCACAAAGAGACGTGGGTATGAGGAACAAGCCGAAATGGGGTATGAATTAAGATAATGATGAGCTTGGAATGAAGAGCAGGAAGTTGTGTGTGTGTGTGTGGTAATGTTACTCGGGCGATTGCTGCGAGTCGTGTAAGAACGAAGTTTAATGATAAGGAACACGAGTACGGTAGTGAAAGAGGAACCGTGGGGGGTTAATTGAGGGAAGGAATTTGAGAGAACGACGATAAGATCCTAGAACGACGTGGTAGGTACGAGGAAGCATGTTGAAGGATTAATAAAAAACGCGGATTTGGGGGGGGGGGGGACAACAATAGGAACCGAGTGAGGCGAGGGGGATTGCTAAATAATGACGAGCGGAATGAAATACCGGGATCCATGTTGCGCTGGGGTAGTAGTAATCCTGTGACGTTCCTGAACGACGGCTTCTTCCACTGTGCCCCCAATTCGCTCCCTTCTTTGCTTCTCCTCGTCTCCATCCTCGTCTCTTCTTACCCTTTCATCTCCATCTCTCAACATCTTCTCCCTGTCACGAGAGATTTTACACCTCTGTACACGCACGGGTTCCGCATTGATGACGCCTCCATTATCGCGAGCGGGGATCGATTCTGCGTCTCCGTTCGTTCATGAGTCCTTCATCGATCTTCCTGATTCGTTCGCTAATTCGACGACGTCTTCGTTGTTCGGTCGTTCTCTGGGTCAAGTTATTGGCTTGTTCTCTTGACAACACCCCTCCTTACTCGTTCTCTCGCTTATCCCACGACTCATTCGTTTGTTGGATTCGTTCAATCCGCATTCGTTCGCTCGGGTCGTTGACCCCCAGTCGTGTGCTGACTCACACGTTGAGACTTTTTTTTAACTCTTTAGTGCGTGTAGCGAACTCGTTAATTCGCAGGTTACATTATATAATTACACCTGAGTGGTTATATCTCTTTAATTTAGAATTTCGTTCGTCCGTTCACCAATGGACGCATTCGCTCAGTCGCGTATACATTGTAAAGGTTTGCGTTCCCTTCGGTTATTAATTCACGTATCGTTTTTTTATATTATTTAAGAAATTATGAAGGCGTTGGCGTATTCTTCGACTCCTTGGTTAATTATCTCACTCGGTCAGCCAAACTCGGTACATTAACATTCAGCCGGCGTCAAGGCACGAACGGTGATTTAATTTGGCTCTCCGGCAAACCTAAAATAGTCCTGATAAGTCATCATCGATACGGCCTGGCCCTTATTTAGATGTGTTCGTGTCGAACGAGTTATACATGTGTGTGTGTGTGTGCGACTGTGTGTGTGTGCTGCACAGTGCATCATTGTGCACGATGGTGGTAGTAATAATGCCGGCTGTTGTCGTAAAGGAACGTGGTTACAATTGGAATGGTTCCCATATGGCTAATGCCGCATTACTACAGGGATGAATTAAGCCCTTGGTTGGTGGTGGTGATGATGGTGGTGATGTCACTGGTTATGCGAGTGCCGATTTTATGCTGATGGTGGTGAAGATGGTGGATGATGACGGTGGTGGAGATTGATGATGATGATGGTGGTAATGACAGTTTCGTGGTGATTGTCTTTATAGTGGTATTGGCCGTTGTGCTGATGGTATTTGCGATATTCATATTCTTAGGTTTTTTCCTAAGCTGATGGTATTTAGTAATGGTTACAGAAATAGTAATAACGTGATGGTTGTGGGTGTAATAATTATTTTGGTGATGGTGGTCGTTGTAGAAGTTATGGTGATTGTCCTAGGGATTGTTGTTGTGGTAACGATGGTAAAAGATTGAGGATATGGTGGCCTAATGGTGACATTGATTAAGTGGTAGTTGTACAGTGGTATTGGTAATTTGTAGTGTTGTTATGGTGGTGGAAACGATGGGTGTGGTGATGGGATCATTGTGACGGTGGTGGTTATGCTTATGCAGTTTATGTTGATTGTACTGTACTTGTAGTGATGGGTGGTGTTGATGGTTGTGAATATCATGGTTTTGATGGTGGTGATATTGGTTCACGTTATTGAAGTCATGGCGATGATGTTGATTATAGTAGTCGTGGTGAGGGGTGTTCGTGGCGATGGTTGACTCATGTTTTTCTCGTGACTCATGTAATTCCATCGTGAACTTGCCACATACTGAAAGCGCGTGCATTGGTTAATAGTACCATTTGGTGTCCTAAATACATTTCCAATCTATTTGTACCCTTTAGAATATCCATAAGTTGACCCTTTTGTATAAGTCAACATTCGGTATAAGGTAAACGTTTTGTTCGAGTCTCAAACGGTGCTGTCTGCACAGGCAAATTGTACATTGAACAGGCCTTCGTACACTCGATGCTGTGTAAAACCATGCACTCAACAATGCTGGGTTCTCATCCTTGACACGGTTACAGTGTTCCAGAACGGTGGAAAATCTTGCACGCACGCAGCGCGTTGTGCTATGTTGCAGTAGTCGTTGCGGATGGCCATCCTTGTGAGCGAAAATGGCCACGGCCCCTTTTGCGTGACCCCCCCCCCCCCCCCCCCAATGATAGTTTTGGTCGAAGTCGCCGTGGCCACCCGGGGGGGGGTTGGACCGTCGTCCGTGTCCTTAAAACGCCGCGGTACGGAATGACGTTGCAGTTTGGAAGGCCCGAAAAGGAAGTGACATCGCTTTGTGGCGTAAACAACAAAAAAAACGTTTCAGCCAGGGCCCTCCGACGCTTCCGTCTGGGCGGCTTGCCTCGAGTTTCATAACGAACTAAGTGTTTTGGTTGTGCCTTGCCCTTCGTGCCTCGGCCGTTCTTCCACAGGAAATGGCCGTGAGGCACACCACACATTACTCATGGTGGGGGGGGGGGGTGGAGGCTTCTATGGCTGGTTGAGTGTGTGACGCACAATTGTATGTGGCCTGGCAGTTGAAGGGTTATGCATCGTCAGGATGCGCATGACGCTTCTGAGAGGTGTGAATTTGGCACGTTATGCCGAGCAAGGGTGACACGTTGTAGCTATATAGAGGCTCACGTCAGTCTCGTTACATCGTGTGTTTTCATTTTTTATTCTATAATTGGAACATGAGTACCTGTTGGAAAAAAAACTGACTATCATGCGAAAACAATTGTGCTTTTATGCTGACTAAAGATGAAGGTTGTTGACGTCATTGTGCCTGCAAGATAAAAAAAAAACTCAATACCTTTTTATTGGATGCTGTGTCAGGTCTAGCTGCCATCTCTGCTTGTATCCAGCCAGCGAGTGAACGTACAATTTAAAAAATTTACGGCACTGCGGTACAGCTGGACAAAACTGCCATGGGGCAGCCTTGTGAATTTGACATTGAAGTGAACTGCATTACCATCTGTAACATGCGGTGTCGGTCAATGGCTTGAGTGTTCAGTTTACAAACAAAGATGCCTTAATTCAGTTTTGTGGAATTTATGCTGCGGACAATTGTTTCTGCTGAGCAGCTCCAAGCATGAAGTGTCAAACTGCCACAATAAGTATGGTGTGGCGTACACAATTCAAATGTGTTCAGGAAATAATGTAACTGTTGGTGATGAAATGATCCTTATTGCTGTACCCCGGGGTACCAAATAATACAAAATGGCCGAGGCAATTAAATATTTAATTTCTGGGACACTATTTTTTCCAGGGGTGTTACTGAACTCCGCGACTGGGGTACCAATCAATCCGAAATCGGTGGTGCCACTCCGCAATGTCGAAACGCAGCGAGGACGATTGTGCTGAAACCCTGAACGCTCGTACGCACCGTAGTGGTGCATCGTGTACAGCTCGAGTCGAGATGAGTCGATTGCCGCATCGCCGACCATCAACAGACAAAAAATAACCGGACATTATGTGAGAGCCGGGGTACTATGGTACCGCTATAAGGTTCCAATGTTCATTGGCTCTACTGAAATTCAACACATTTGAGCGAGCATGTGGCAGTGGGCATTTGCACCAACAATTACGACGGTTTTGCGCATTTGGGAGCTTTACCCAAGCTTCGCTGTGCATACCCAACGTATTTGTTGTGTGAAATTTACAGCGAGTCTCCACTTACAAGTGAAATTGTATTTGCCATTTTTAGAAAACATCTGTGTTAAGTATCTGAATGTCAGGCCACTGAATGTCCGTGCAAGCAGCGATCAAACATGCTCCATTCTTACACCAGCCCATCCACATTTTTAACCGAAGGCCTCCACACTGTACCTCCTTGCCGCAACAATGCGCGCAGAACTGCATTCCCGTTACACAGGTTTCGTTTTAAAGACTAACATTATTTTAAATCAATCGCTCCTGACGCACGCCGTCTTCTTTAAGGAAGAAATACTCCTTGTGACAACGTTGGCTCCTTCTTTTCTGTCCGCAGGAGTTGAACGACTTGGGGAGGGATCCTCCGGCACAGTGCTCTGCAGGACCCGTTGGCGACGACTGTGAGTCATTGAAACGTCTTTTATATGAGAAGCACAATCGAAATCTTTATTTATACTGGAGGAATCCGATGAGCTTTAAATCTCTTTTTGAACAGATGTCCAGTCGGGCCAGGTCAAAGTTACAACCACAAACAATACAAAATACGATAGGAGTGCAAAGTAGATGAAAGGTAAAAACAAATCGCTTTTAAAATCTATAAAAGTAAAACTAAACTCTTTTTTTGCATCTTACCAGGTGAAGCCCACTGAGCCACAAACTTATTGTTTTTCAAAACGACTTGGCCACATGATGGCCAAACGAGGGTGGCTTATGTGGAACTGCCACAGCAGCAAAATAATCTACGTAATTGCATATTTCTAAATAAAGATCTTGAACCTTACTCGACAGAAAAAAATCCATCAAACCCTGGACCACCAATGATCACTACCTTTATGATTGGTAACCAAAGTTGTATATCATGGCGTGTCCCTCCGCAAGCTGACGCGCACGAATCCTGATTGTGTGAATGCTTACCTGGGCTCTGCTGTGACACTCTGCCAAGGAATCCTCTAGGCCATTCTTCTGTAATGCATCTTTCATTCATTCATGAATGATGCCATCTTATTTATGTCAAGAGATTTGTGTACGTGAGACTTTAATTTCCATTTGTCTTGGTCTCGCAAGAAACTGATTACTTTTATGGCAGTGCTGTATTGGCTTTCTGTACTTGGTGCAAAGTACTTGACCAGGGCTAAAGCCTCGAGTGGTAGACATCAAGGCACATGCCCCACCCCCACTGCGCCACCTCGCCCACCCCCCCCTTCATCAATATAGCTGTAAAGCTATAGACGGAGCGTTATAATAAGCAAATGGGCCCAAACAAGTCGGCTACTCGGGCAAAGTGTTTTACTGCGTTTGGTAACACCAAGTACAGTGCTGTACACTCTCACCGTGAACGCTTGTGATATGTATATGCATCCTTGATCCTGTATCCTGCAAATCTTGGCTAGGCTTCTGAACTTGACACTGTAGGGCACACATGAAAGGGATGGAGAATTTATCCCACCGTTGAAGCAAAATTGCTTTGAAAATGCGTTTCTTAAAATGACGAATGCTGCATATTTGGTAATAATCGCGGACGCGCATGAAACGTGCTTTGTTGTTTGTACTGATTTACTTTTATACATTTTTCTAACGTTGCTGTTGACGTGCTTTAATGTGTTTTTAAACAAAGGTCGTTTTTTCCCCACACCGTGGCAAATGAGCTCTTTTTTTAAAGACACCTCATTTCATATATAAAAAGATATACAAGTAAAACTGTCAGTCTCATCCTGGGAAGTGCGTGTCTTATCTCTGGGGTAAAACGGCAATAAGAGTCGAACGTTGTGGTGGTTTTGTCCACGTTTGCAGAAAAACACAGGCAGTTGTTATACATAAAGTAGGCCCGCGTGGTGTGATGTGGCCATCGGCGTAACGTTGGCTTTGCCGAGTACGCCCTTGACGTGGCTGAGCTTGGGTAATCTGTCTCCACTTCTGGATACAACCACGTCGAGTGTTTTTTTTTTAAAGAAGACTGCGTTTGTGTTTTTCAATAGTTTTTTTTCTCTCGTGAGCAATGTTGGCAGCCGGGTACAGTTTTTACAAACTGCGCACTTGCGTGCATGATTATGGTATATAACTATATTTATTACTGACCTTTTAAGCATTGCTTTTTATAGTTTGAGGCGGATTTATGTTTGAGTAGACGGCCAAGATGGGAGTATTTTTGCACTTGAATGGTGTGCTTTATAAATACCTGTTGCCACACTGCATTAAAGTATTACATAACACTTTATAAGCATGATGTATATACACCTTCAACGATGGTGTTAAAAATGTTTTGTAAAGCCCATTTGGATACGTCCGATCCCTTTGTTAGGTTTCTATGTTTTCACGTATATTTTGTATTCTAGCTGTTATAATGTTATGACTCGTTTCTCTTTGCAGTGTTTCATTGGCAGGCCACCATTATGGGACCAGTAAGTCAATATTTAATGTAATGCACGACACTGTTAAAGGCTTAGCGTCACATGTTTGCAGATGGGCAATTCTGCCCGCGGAGTGTCCCGTGTTTGGTAGAGCTCGTGGAAGAAAATAATCGTAAAGAGAACACTCACTGTTGCACCTGCGGAGCCGACTGGTTTATTGGTGTGAATCGTGCCTTAAGTTTTAAATGGGAAGGAAAACACGTACACATCTTAAGTAGTACGTTCAAATGGTGCCAAAGGAAACACCCTAAAAAGGTAAAACATTGACTTGTGATATTTGATGTAAAACACGCGTAAATTTAACAAGTACCTAACCATCATTCTAATTTTCTTTACCGTTTCATAAAGTACACCAAATTGAGATAGCTGTCGGTGAGTTTGTGCTCCACGAAGCTGAACAGGCCTAAACATGAAGGAGTACAGTGCAATTTCACTAATGTAATCCTGTCACAGCGTCTGTAATACAGTATGGAAGGTGTTTCGGTCTGTGTGTGTGCAAATGTAATGACTCCGTTCATGTTTGTTTTCATGTAGAATGACAGCCCATACCAGGGGGGCGTGTTCTTCCTTACCATTCACTTCCCAACAGACTATCCTTTCAAGCCTCCAAAGGTCGGTGTTTGTTTCCTAGGCTGTGCACAGCATTTCTTTTGAATGACTGTGGAATCCCACGGGGAAACAGAGATTTTGTGAGAATGTAAGCACTTTATATTTTTAGGGAGCTTTTACATTAGGCTAGCAAGACTGAAGGGAACCTGCTTTTAAGGCACTTAAGAAGATGCCTGTTGAGCTCGATAGTATTTCCCGTGAAAATATTGGTGACTCCTCAAGGTTCTAGTAAGCTCGAGAAAGTATTTATAATCTCTGAAGTGGCGAGCCTCAACTGTAATGATTTTTTAGAGGCACCTTTTTAGGATGTGTTCCTGTCCAATATGGAAATTCATGACCGAGTGGTGTAAATTCTAATGGTATAAAAAGTGAAAGATGAGATTTGACACAAACATAGTAGAGTTTTCAGCTTAAGAACATCTGAAAACCAAGCCTCTTTTGGATTCCTGTATTGCAGAGTAAAAAATACTCTTTGTTTTTAATCTGCAGATAGGACAGTCTTTCAAAATTGTACTTTTGTTTTGGGTAAATAAAAAAAAGCCACAGGAAAGCCAATAGAAAGGTAGGCAAAGCCCCTCTGCTTGTTATTAGTCATTACTATTAATTATATAAAAGCTGTTTTCACATTTGTGTTGCATACCTTCCTTACAGGCATAGTAAATGTAGAGCACAAAATATTAGATTACATTCAGCAAAATATGGTTTTATTTACAGAGAATGTTTGGCTATGCTATGATGAAGAATGTTTATATATTCTTCATATATTTTTTTGGGATTTAATTACTGTACAGGTAAACTGAATTGTGACAATTCATTCCTCTCGTACTAGGTTTGCTTTATTTCCTATTTCCATGGAGTGCCTGAAAATTGAAAGTTCACTGATATGTCTGTTTAGCTATGGCATGCAAACAATGCAGTAATTCAAGTCTCTCTCTATTAAAAGTTGATACAAAATGCTATGTTTACACCAACCTGAGCCTTGTTTATTTCCAGACTCTTGACAATACAATATTTATGGCAAGTCTGCCCTCTGAGTTTCTCACGTCTCTTGTTCTTGACAGGCCAGGTTCCCACAATGGAAACGGTGACTATTGAGACCGAGCCAGGCAGAGTGGTCTCTTGAGGCCCTTTTCAGTCAGGTCTCTCCATGCGTTAACACTGCTGCACTGGAGTGCACTGTGCTAATGGCATCATTTTAGCAGGTAGACAAAAGCTTGGAAACACGGGCAGAATATTCTGCGTAAACACCGTAACAAGCTTTTCTCGAACCTCCATTGTGATGTTTGTTTTAGGAAACAAACGTGCTTTCAATAGCTGGTGTAAAATTGTTGAAGAAAGTTTATAGAGTGTGGTGACAAGGCCAAACGGGAGAGTGCATTCGCCACTTGTTCTAGAGGAATATTGTTCGAATCGGTGGTCGCCCTGATTATAACTGGGTTCTAACATGTGCCGATTGCTTAACAATAGACGTTAAAGAGTTGACGGTCATTTGCAACACTCAGCCATTGGGTGCCAGTGTCGAGGCCTGAATTTGCCGCGTTTGAAAGATGACCCGTAAATTCCGCAATTGGAATTATACGCAGAAATCATTTGACCCTACTGGCAGACTTTTGACCCAGGGGTCAGTCTTGCAAATAACAACTCGTCTCGACTTCTCGCCTACTTCAATGAACTTAACGTAACATTTTTAGTCCTAATAGGATTCCTATTTTTTTGTAATGTGTGAAGCGAAAATGTAAATGAATGAATAGACAAACTGAATATGATTCTCCAAATAGGTTTTGTTGTTTTGCAGCATTGTTTTCTAAATGGATATTTTGAGGGATGATTTAAAAGTGTTTTAGTTTCGGAATTTTTTTATGAAAACATGGGTTTCATAAATATAACCGCGCCTGTTTCCTTTTGTTGCTTAAAGTTCTTTATCTCGCGAAGCACATGGTCATACCAACCCCTCGCTAAACCGTTTTAACGTTTGCGCACAGTTTCCCATCATTGCAAGGACAATTTTAATCCAATATTTTTTTGGGAAATGAACCACTTTTGTGGGCAAACATTTTGTTAAAAGCTGCTTTTCACTATTCACATTGTGAACTGTAAAACTTTACTCGTAGGAATGGACAAAGTCCAAGATTATAGTGCTGGAAGACGACAGCAGGTGTGACTTGAGTAGTAGTCACCTAGGCACACGCTGTCAGACACATGGCTCCAGGAGAATGAGCAGAGTAAGTGTTCCCCTTGTTTTAAACCAATTTTTATTCTACGTGGCTTTACCGAAAGACCCGGTCACAATGATCGCTCAACAAAGTGGATTACCATGTGAAAATGTATAGGTACCAAATACTCTTAAACACATGATTCTAAATGTCGAGGGGAAAAACCGGAGAAAAATCCACGCGACCATACGCAAAATCCAAATATACAGGTGTTGGGGTTGGGCTCGAACCCACGACCTCCTATATTCCAGGCGAGGTAGTTAACATCTCGCCACCGTGGCACCCTCATGATGGCAGTGTTTATGGTGACCGTCGTATGTTGCAGGTCGCGTTCACAACGCGCATCTACCATCCGAACATCAACAGCAATGGTAGCATCTGCTTGGACATATTGCGCTCGCAGTGGTCTCCAGCCCTCACCATATCCAAAGGTAAGTAAGTGGTTTGTCGCGTCGTCATAACCACGTGGGCTATGCACAGGTCACTTCATCCCCACTGGTTTTAAATAACGTATTTCTTGCCAGTGCGGTCTCCTCTTGCCCCTTTTGTTGTGTGCTCCAAAGGCAATATGAACTGAGGGTTCAAGCTCAAACTGTTTGTTACAGATCTCACTATTCTGAAATGGTTGTGCAATGGGAGGTCTCATAGTGTAAATGCTTACCCCGAGCTCTCAATACTTTGATATTGCGCTGTTTTTGAGTTGTACACCTTTTGGCGTCATATGGTCCAACACCAATGGAGACTAGGCTCTAAGGAAAGCTGTCTCGGACAGTGCATATTATCAGAGTTTATTTTTGTTTGCATTTTGACTGCTTGTGTTGTGGTTATTGCAAACATGATGCCTTGTATAAAGGTGTCAGTTTTTGTACCAGTTGAAAAGGTAAAAACCTACTACTACAATGGGCAGTAGTAAAGTACGGTGTTTTGTAAGAAAGACAAATCATAGTATCAGCAGCAGTTCCGTGGACAGCTTACCCACACCCTTGCAGACCACAGTCTGGGAACCACTGGCATTTAAGGAAGTGTTTGCATTTTGCCAAGTTGAGTAATCGCGTCTTACATCCAACAATTTTATTTAGAATCCCTTTTTGGTTAACGGTAGAGCCAAGATAGTTGGTAGTGCAACTCCTGCTGTTCCACTAGACTACACACTAGCATTTCACAACCTTTCGAAGTTAGCAGCCGCTTGTCATAAGTAAAATATTTTCATAATCGCCCCAATATTAACACGTGCATGCACATAAAACTCTCATACAAGCGCACGGCCATATACACAGTTAAACATACGCAAGTTTCCCTTGCTAAAGGAGCATTGATGTACATGTTTGGCTGGGTTTTTTTCATCACAGCTAAAGGAATCTGCCTACTTAGATGTGAAAATATGCTCAGACATGGAAATGCCAATGTATGAACACTTGCATACGCACATCTCCATACGTTTGTGTATAAACAAAGATGCATACAAACATGCACATACACGAGCACACGTTCCTCCATAATTGCACTTGTATGTAAATATGCATGTGCAGTGCACACACAAAATAATACAAATACTTTACTTATCCGGGAAGCCACACTGAGTCATACGACTCTTTCAGAAAAGAGCTGCATTGCAATTTTTATTTTAAGGTGTTTTTGGCCAAACGTACATGTGCACTTGCATGGAAGAACAAGATGTGCAAAGGATGCAGTATGATAGGAGAGGATAGATGCAGCGGAGACGCACACAAGAGAAACATGAGGCATGCAGGCATGAAAGAAACACACGTAGACTGAAACACAAGGAAAGGAAACCCTCGCAACAACTTTGCCTTTGCTAGCCCCCTGGAGGTCATGACCCATTAATTTGTAAATGTGCCATTTATAAAAAAATGTTACTTGGCAAAACACGTTCCTTCGGAGTGGGCAGGTAGGAACTTGGTTGGCACAGCGCATTCGTGCGATCCGTGTCACGCGGCGCAAGCTGCTTGGGGCGGCGCATCACGTGGTGCTGAGCCCGCCCGAAGCGCTCTATGAAATACAAATCGAGGGCGTGGCTATGCACGACAGGCAAATAATCCCTGGTGGGCAGTGTGGAACTGTTCCTATCTGTATATATTTGTCATCTCGTATTGTATGTGGCATTGCTTTTCGAATCATTGTAATTTCAGCTGGCTAAGAAATGTAATACCTGAACGGTTAGTTCACCGTTAAGAAATATTGCTTTCATTAGATTCACTTATTTGTATGACTTGACGCCTGCTGTGAACTGGCAAGTCCTCAATTGGATGCCGAAGCATTTGCATGGCATACGTTAGGTTGATGCAGCCCACGCTTCTGTCTTAACATTGGCTCTGCTGCTCTTGTGGATTTCTGGTAGTTCTGGTGTCCAGGCAGCTGGGGATGCGTTTGACGCATAGTAGCGCCTGCTGTGCTTTGCATTCGGGTACCGGTTGGCATCGCAACTGCGTGCCGTTCACTCGCACGCATCCGCTGCCTCGCGTGTCACGTACACTATGCTGGAAGTTGAACATTTCTCTCGTGCGTTGTGTGCCCTGTGTAGTGCTGCTGTCCATCTGCTCGCTGCTGTGCGACCCCAACCCCGATGATCCTCTTGTGCCAGAGATAGCGCGCATCTACAAGACGGACCGAGAGAAGTGAGTGACCTGCTTTTAAGAGCTTCCTGCTGCTGCATGGTGGCCTCTTCCCTTGCCTCTTACCCTCAGATCTACAAAAAGCACAATAACCGCATGCTAAAAAGGAAGAAAATGTTCACCAAAAGGATTGTTTTGCAAAGCTTCTTTGTCTTGAGTATGCATGATCTTCTGTTTGCATAATGTACAAGTGAAAAAGTAAACTGGCTACGAACACCAAACCATGAACCATATAATTCTGTACTGCCCCAAATGTAAATTTGAAGGTGGTGTGTATATCTGCTATTCACCAACTTTGAGACCAATCAGTTGAATGGCTCAATTACTTAGAACTGAATCTGTAATGGTTCTTCATTGGCCATACGAAATCACATTCCTGTGAAGACTGTAGCATGGCAGTGCTGTAATGCGAGTCATCGCGGAACGAGTGCAGATTTTTTTTATCATGGGCTCGTGTTAAGATTAAGAATGTACATCTCCAAAGTTGCTCACGAGTCTGCACTGAGACACTGGGTGTCTATTTTTTTTATAGCCTCATTGCAGTGCTTTGATGCAAATACCGGGTTGTAACTGGTTATAGAAACAAATGTTTTACCAGATTTTATATGCGATTCTCGTGTACCCGTGACCTGTTCTCGTCTCGTTCACAGGTACAATAAACTTGCCAGGGAATGGACGCAGAAGTATGCTATGTGACACAGCGGAGGGGAAACCTGGTGCTCCGTTTTATACGTCTGTTCTGCTTTTTGCCGCTCGGTTTTATTTTGTTTTGGTTTGGTTTTTTTATTTTATTTTCTCCTTACCTGTGTGCACACCAATCCCTTCTGGCCCAGCACCTTCCCAGCCTCCATTTCATCACTTGGCACAAGTGCTTTATTTTAACTTTAATTTCTTCCTCCTTTTTTACCCCTCCTCCCTCCCCCCTCCCCTATGCAGTCCCCTCCACCTTGTCCCGTTGTGTGTATAAACTCCTGCCCCCTCCTGTACATTTCTGTAATAAAAGAACAAAATTGTGAGATGTTTCTGTTGTAATATACTTGAGGTCTTGCTGTAGAAAACATAATAAAGCTAATAAATGAACACACAAATATACCGTGGTGGCCTATTTGATTTTCGTGTTCATTTGCCTGTGAAGTGCCAGCTGCTGTGTGCACGTATGTACACTATATTTGCATGTTTGTATGTCTGGAGAAGGCTCGTGAAGGACCCTGCTGGGCAGTTGGAGGCCGTCGGCCCCAGCAACAATGGAGGGCAGAGGAGCGACACTCCCAACAACGAATGGAGTGCCGGGTGGCTAAAACACAGCAAGTTTGAATAGCAGGGGGGGCACAGGTGTTGCATTGGCTAGTCATCTCAGTCCACCCATGGTACCTGGGTCTGTCCCATGACCTGCCACGTGGGTGTTCGACACTTCACGTGGCCTTAATGTGCACAAGTACTGGGAAGACGTCACTGCCACTTCGTGTCGAATGGCGGTTGTTCAACTTCCACGCTGTTAAAGATTGTTTATATTAATGAAGTCACTTTTAAAATCCAGTCATGGTAAGCCTCTTACTCATTGGTAATTGGTGACCTAACATCGGTGACATTTCCTTTTAGTGTTGCTAACCAACGTCACCTTTTACCATGTAGTATTAAAGCCTTGGTTACTCATCTCCAGTCCTCATGGGGTGCAATCTTGCATGTTTTTAGACCTCTTAAAATCACCAACCCTTTTACAGCTAAAAGCAGCTTTTTTTTAAAGTTACTTATTACATTTAGGGTTTGAGCACGTTATTGAGAGAGCAAAAACTGGAAGACACCGACCCGTGAGTTACCGGAGTTTTTAATGATGGCTAAACTCGCTAATCAACTAACTGCACTGGTGTAAATACAGTGCATACAGTATTTGCAATATTGTGGTCGATATAAACCGCGTTGTGCGATAGTGCAATATTTACTCTGGAGATGAGAGCGTGACGTTTTATGGGTAGCAAGGGACCAGAGTGCAGAAATGTTTGTCTCGTGGAGTCGCTGGGATGTTGTGAACTGAAGGCGGTGTTTATCACTCATGTCTGCAACACGTTCGGTTTTCATAACTACACCAAATATTGATTTGAACAATGTCGATGTGTTGGTTAATTTTGTCAGCAAACCTGATGACCAAACATTTGTGCTGCTTCACTTTTTGTTTACATTTGATGTACAGCGCTTTGAGATGACTAATTTGAAAGGCACTTTATAACACGAGTTTATTCATTATTACTATATTCTTTGGAAGTGTGTTTCTAAAATATGTACAATCTGGTGGTTGTCTTGGAGACCTTCACAAGCCAATGTAAGCTCTATTAATAGATCACTGCATCTCGCCTTTTCTACGCGTCGATTTGTTTGGATAATATTTGTGCTGAAAATAACCGGACGAATTTGCTACCACTTCTCAGTGGCACTTATCTGTGGTGACCTTGCAGAGTGGTAGCGCATTTACGGCTTGTTGCAGAGCTTCACTCTTATAGCCCAGCAACCACCCTGGTAAATACTATTAATTTTTATTATAAATACGTGCCGTCTGCTTCGCTGTGAACATTCAAGATCTCGTGACGTTATTTGAACCATGCTGGTGTCGGGAATTAACGTCGCCACATTTTGATAACACTCAATAGGAAAAAGCACAAGGCTAAATCGCCCCCTACTAGCAGGCAAATGCCCATTTGTCGGCATATCGTATGCACACCTTTTCGCATAGGGGCAGATGCCACTAGGTGTCCCCTTGGCTAGACTGCAGCATGCCATTGGGTGATTGATGAGAGAATGTAAAGGTTTTGGGGGCTTTTAAGTGCGCTCTATATGCATATTTGAAAAAAAGGAAATAATTTGATTCAATGATAACTTTCGGGAGACTCGTGAAGAAAAATGCAGATAACAGAATTAACCCTTTTGTGAAATAAAAATACAAATACTGAATACTCAATTTAGTACTTGTGTAGTAGATTCAACTGAGTCGCAGACGTACTTCTTAGAGGCATCACATTTATTACGCCAACGTAATACACAAAGGGGTAGCTGCCCCTTTTACCAGATAACATCCTCGGGTGGTGGACCACCCGGCTAAACTCCACGAACACACTGGGAGTTGGCTACACTGGACCGGACCTCGGCTCTGGTCCGGGTCCACGTGTTTGGAGACTTCGACTTAGAACGTAGATCTTCAGATGACGGTAGCAACGCTGAACCCCGGTCCCTGTGGGGGACCCGGCTTGTATGCTCCCGGGTCTTGGCTGGCCCCGCCCTTGGCCACGCCCACCTTCGAGAGAGTCCTTCCTCTCGACCCTTCCCGTAGGATCTTCCCCCCCCCCTGCCCGTGACCACCCCCTAGCCCCCACCTAGGTCCCCATGTAGACTTTACCGGTCACGTGCTGTCGGGGTCAACCAGAGTGCCATGGCCCAGGGTCACCCTGCCCCTCGGCTGACGCTCTGCCACTCCCTGCGGTGAGAGTCCGCACTGCACGCCACGCGTGGTGCCACTGGGCGCTATCCCAGCGCTCGCCAAGCCCCCTCTAGGGCTGGTACTACACCCACCTACGGGGTGTTTGCGGTGACGGTGCATTGCACGCCGTGCCTTGCTGGAGTCGGCATTACAAAGTCACATTCACGATGTTGCTACATACGTGATGTGAGTACATCGCACGCCGTGCCCCTCTAGAGCCGGCACCATCCAGTGACATCTGTGATGTCACTACACTTATAAGCAGCCAATTCTGGTAGCTGTTTCATGGATTAATGTGTATTGTATAATCCACATGGTAACATGGGTTTTGCTAGTTGAGTACACGGATGAGTGCAGATAATACGTTTATGGATAAGGGGAGTTCCACTATTTAATAAGCAACTCGCCAAGATCAAATATTTGCTGAAGGACAATATTCAAGGAAAACATTCTTTAAGAAATTGGCCAAATATCCCAAGTAAGACCACTGGAACAGCGCCAGTGAGCCCAATGCACTTTTATTAGTTTCCTAGAGTGAATTCAAACGAATTTATTATGCCAACAGATGTAACACTATAACTGTAACAGATTTTAAGATCCTCAGGAGAGTAAGATGCACCCAAAATTTGTGCCCAGTGTCAATGAAAGGTATCCAAGCTGGTTACACACACATGCATTACCTACATTCCTACAAGATGATAAGACGCAACACCCAAATGTTTGCTCTATAATACAGTAAAATTGGCAAAGTTCATAATCTGAATACGGTAATAGTTTTTTTCGCATGGAATCCTCAATGAGTCAATATTATTCATATGGGTCCTGCATTTGATATGTTTGGCCAATTCCATTAATAAATATTGACGAGTGTCGAATAAATGATGGATGGGCAGACCCAGTAGGAACAAATACCCGACGAAAACACCAACATTTGCACACAAGGGGTTAACATCCGAAGCTGCTCACAGATAGATTCAATAATCCACTGCCGCACGACTGCCACGTTTAAGCTACCTTGCTTTCTGTTGTATGAATTTGCTATTTTTTTTGTTTAAAAAAAAATGGGGGGGTGCATGCTCAGTCGGCTTAGCACTCCCCTCCCACCGCTCTCACGTTACGACATCCACCCACGGACTCTGGTTCAGTTGTCGAGATGGAGGGGCACGGCTGAACGACTCCATAAAAGCAAGTGTGTTGTTGGTATTATTTATGTGCAAGCTGGCCGGTAGGGCAGTCAACGGTGTGGTTAAAGGAGGGCACTACCAGAACCGGCTCTAGACCTTTGGGGGCCCGAAGCAAAATTTGGTTGGAGGCCCCTTTGATGTATGATTTTTTTTCACCCACTAGCTAGCAGTGACTCTAGGGGGCCCTCTGCTGGCCACGGGGCCCTTTGCAATTGCAAGGGTCGCTTCGTGGCTGGGCCGGCTCTGGGCACTACCGTTCGTGAGCGAGAGAGACCAGCATCAGTGCCTCTAACGTTGTATGTGCGTGACTTTACGAACTCGGCAGTTTTAGTGAAACTAAACACAAAAAAGGTAAAGGTGCATCCCTGTAATTTATTTCTCACGCCGGTGCTGGCGGAAGGGCATCATCTACTGCAGGGGGCTCGAGATTGGAGCCGCTCTAGTGGACGCATCATCAGCCGCGATCCATCCGCTGCTGGATGAAGGCATCCAATAGCTGTTACCATCTCACACACCCCGGGATCGGTTCAAGATAATGGTGCTTCGCCGTGAGTGGCAATCGAACGTAGCGGTGCGCGCTAACCACTGCGCCACCGCTCCCCCCCCCCAACACACGCACTAAACTATACTAAACTATTTTTAAATCCTTTATATTAAGTTCGCTTGCTTGCTTAGGACCGTGCAAATCTTTCGGTCGTTTTTTAACCCACTTCCCGTAATCCAATCGAGCTGACATTTTCCACACAGACTCGTTGTGCGTGACAATTAATGTTCGTGAAATTTTTTTTCAAAAATTTTACACTTGTTAGGACAAAACTATTATATTTAATTACCAATTGCTTAATGGTGCAATGCAATCATCTGACCCATAGGTGGCAGCCATCTCAAGCCAGAGGACGAGAGGACTCTAGCCGCCACGCATATAAAGGATTTATAGTGAAAAACTTTGTTTTTACGGGTTATACTTGTTCTCATTTTAGACCAGGTAAGGGCCCCAACTTGAGCTGTATGGCTCTTTTTTTTCAGAAGCGACCCGGCTATTACAAATGATAAGCTCAACGAGGTGGACTTATCGTCGCGTCGAAGAAATTCGTAGCAGCCGAAATGATCTCAACGTGATGTTGATGCTCATGTGTGGAGGGGAAGACCCGGACAAAAGTCCACGCGAGCCACGGGGTGAGAGAGAAGAGAGAGAGAGAGCGAAGAACATCGCTCAGACTCCAAATATACAGCGGGTGTCACAGTGGTCGGGGTGGAACCCACGGCCCTCCTGTGTACCGGGCGAGGTAGTCAACATCTCGCAACCACGGACCTTTAGGACCCCACCGCTTCCAAGACAAACTGCGCTGGCAAACAGCAGGAAGCGACGTTTCCCAACGAGAGTGGAAACGGGGGTGGGTGGGTGGGTGGGGGGCGGATTTTTTGTGCTTTCCGTTTAAAGAGGAAGGGAGGGGAGGGATGAGGGATGGAGAGAGGGAGGGAGGGAGCAGGCGAGATTTGAGAGCATTGACGTGGGCACTAGCCCTGTTAAGGAAGGCGGAAGGCAGCTTTGCTTGCTTGCTACTCTGTCCACTTGGAGCGTGGCTAAAACTGAAACTGTGATCGGCACACACATAGAACGCACACACATACCGCAGTAAACCTAGGGCAACAGCAGCAGCAGCATCATCGTCTAATTGTCAAACGACGTCTTGACTCGGCACGTCACAAAGCAGGTAGGCGTGTTTATAATTGTGTTTGGTCACAACAACACTCGGGCGTGTGAACAAAAAGTGATTAACAATAACTTTCGATTTAAAGCTTTCGTGACTGCAGGGATTCATCTTCTTGGTTCTTTCGGTAAAGTCACGTCGAAGCTGTCTTCCCGACAGACCTGTTCTTCACCTGAGGACGGCTGCTTGCGTTGTGGCCGAAACGTCGTGAGAATAATTTTATTATGTTTAATTTCTATTATTTTATTATTTCCCTTCTACGTGACTTTACCGAAAGAACCAAGAAGATGATTAACAATAGTTACGTTCTGTAAGCATGCCTTGCCAATGCTGCGCTGTACGAATACGATGTATAAGTTGTGTACTGCACAGTGTACGGTTATGTAACGCATCAGCTGTGTAATGGGGTAATAAGCACGAGTTGGTGTGCTGTGCTGTGTGTGTGTGCTGTGTGTGTGTGCTATGTGTGTGTGCTGTGGAAGAGCTGGGTAGTTTGCTACGCTTGGCAAGTCGGAGTCGACTGGCAGTGTTCACTGGAGGGCAGCAGCTCTCTGGAATATTCTGTTGATCCCGCAGAGCAGTGCACTTGTTAACACTGAACACGTGGGCACGATTATTATACAGAGTCTAAATTACACACACACACATGCTGCACATACACAAACATACATTTATACACAGTGTGTTTTACGGGCACTACACACACAATTATAATACACAAAGTGTCTACACGCCTACACTGCACATGCAAAAACAACGTCTATGCAATGCTTGTACGTATACTGCACACAATTGTCATACAGTACACACGATATATACACAAAGTGTGTACGCACACTGCACAATTATTATACACAACACAAATCAGACATACACAATGTGTGTACATACACTACACATAGACTATATACACATACACAATATATACACATATATAAAATATTCATGAACAATACAGTTATACACAATGTGCATACATACACACTACACAGTATATATACACATACTGCACATAAAACACACAGACAATCCGCACATCCGATTAAGCACGGTTGGCCACGTACGGTATAAAAGAAGTTCAACATACATACGTGCTCAACATGTTTTTGTTTACCTTCAGAAGTGTAATGTGTAGTTCAAGTAACTTATAGGGGGAGTGGTGGTGCAGTGGTTAGCGCACTGTGAAACTCGGCACATTGATAAGTTCGATTCACCAGAGGCGAGTAATATCTGAACTAGTCCTGGCGGTCCCCCCCCGCCCCTTCATCCCGAACCATGACCAGCGTGGTGAAGTATGTACATTTCCAACATTATTACAGTATGTTGCATAGAAGGGATGATTATGGCCAGTGGTCGAGACTAACAACGGAGTTGCAGCCAACGTGCACGTGAGAACATCCACCGGGGAGATATAGCCGAGAAATCAACTCGTGTGATGGAAATCGACAGCTTTGGGTTTGCATTCATTCAGCAGTGGATTGATCATGGCTGATGATTATATATATGCCACCTATGTGCGCGCAATGTAACGTTAATACCTTGTTGGGTGTTGGGAAATGAACAACATTCTGCCAATTGAATGAGGGCATTGAGTCGGGGCTATTTGGGCATGTGTGTGTGTGTTTCTTTGGGATCTTGTGGAAGGGAATGCCCCAGGTACACAGCGAAAAGTCTTGTCTTCTCTGTTTATTGGTTATAGGGGCATTCGCATAATTTCCACAAGTCCTCTTTGAGTTCAGGGCAATGTGGATTTTTTGTGGTTGTGCAAAATATGAAGAGGAATTTAGCCCATTAGGACATTCAAAACAGCTGGGACCAGCCTGAAAAATAGTTTTTTTGGAAGGCTCAGCAAATATTTCATGAGCAATTTGTTAAATATCTCTCCCACTTCTGTTCAACCAAGAGTTATAATTGGGTGTACCAAAGTTAGTTCATTGGTAGATCCCATGTGGTGGGTTAAAGCGCGGGTGACTCTCACATCTTCCAAGACGTCTGCACAGCGTGGAAGAGTAGGTCAAAATGCCTTCTAGAGGGGCACATGGTCTATGAATGCCAAATGTGGCGCGTGTGTGATTGTGACAACATTTGGAGCTTTTTTTATCCAGCAGTGGAAACGTACACTTACAGTAACATCAGCAAATACTACACCTTTGCTGACATTTTTTTAAAAAACCGCCTAAGAAGTTGCACGTGTTCTCCAAGATCACCGTTTTTATCCGGCGGTGACGTTTTCAAGTTACAATTAGGTCTGGTACGCAGAGAACCTGGGCCATGTGCTTTGAAGTTTCAGTGGGCAAGTGTGGACGTGCAGGTCATCACATACACTCAGAAAGCCGAGCACCCCCTCAGCCCCAACGCCCGTCCCCACAACGGTCTGGCAGACAGAGTAGCAGACGCATTTTTTTGGCGATATTGGCCGCTGGCAGTGGCGCACAAGCCCACATAATAAAACCGAACACATTGGTCAATAACACTGCGGCCTTGAATGAAAAAAATACAATGGGTGACGTTTCAAGCAACGGTCCTTCTTCATAGCATATACAGCAATAGCAGATAATTATGTCAAAACTGCCAGTCAACCTCCACTTAGTGGGAGGTCGCTCCTTCTCCTTTGCTGCCCACGCAATCTTCTTGGTTCTTTCGGTAAAATCACGTAGAAGTGACTTTACCGAAAGAACCAAAAAGATGAATCCCTGCAGTCACGAAAGCTTTAAATCGAAATTTGCCCGCGCAATGTTATGATGATTTGCACTTAATAGGCACCTCTCGTGAAACTTTCTCTCCAGCAATCTGTGCTGTTGACTCCCTGCCCCTGTTCAAGTCCAGGATAAAGAACTTGTATCTTCTGCCTATGACTGTTTATTTGGTAGAATGTAGTAACCGTCCACATTAAATGCAAGCTGCACTGCTTTTGTAGAACATCTTGAGATGCAGTTGTATTTAGGCACTTATATGAATCCAAATTCTATTGTTTGTATCATCCCACTGGACAAATGAGCATTCCGTGGAGAGGCAGCTCCACCTATATTGGAAGGCAACGGTGGTTGCCCTGAAAGGACTGGCCCTGGCTATATAAAAGTGCAATTGACACAATTGGCCCAAGGCCTCCAATAGAGATGGGCTTGTGTTTACAGTGTCTACAGACACAGCTGAGGTGTAGAGTCTCACATAGCTGAAATGTAGATCTGTCCCTTTTCTACTTAGCACTATACAAATGTAGCACAGACCACGTTTTTACTTCTGTAATTTATGGGAACTTTTTTTGGTTGCATGTGGACAATTGCCTAGCGTGTGCAGACAAGATGTGGTATCGGTTTTGTGTTGGTGCTGCGGTGTGGTTGTGCCGGCACAGTTGTGTATGTCCCCACTCCATTGGTAGACGTATAGAAACTTCAAAGGCCATGTGGTCCCAACCACCATGTGCTCTACCGTCACGACACGGCCATAATTATTCTCATGAAAACACTTAACACCGTTGCCGTGTCCTGAAAGTGTAGTCTTATGTGTTTCCCTTGGCGTGGGTGGATAACAGTTAGGCAATGTTGGTGGCAGGTTTTGGTGTAAGACCCCCCCCCACCCCCACAGGCAATTGGTGGGACTCGGGGGCCAGGGAGTGTAGGGAGTAGACTCGACTGCTTTCATACAACTTAGTAATATCAAGATATCGTGCCCATATCCGTGGATGCCACCACACCGCACCAACACTTTCGACTGCCAGAAACCACAAACTGGTGCACAGTAGGCATGCAACCTCCAAGATCTGTTCCAACATTAGCCCACTATGTGGTTTGAGGTCTTCTGTTTCTAATGAATACCATTTTTTTAATACTTAACATTTTTTTCTTTCATTGCGTATGTCCAATAACAGTATATATACTTATGCAGATCTATATGGAAATGCCTTGAGCTCAGCATGCAGGTCATCTCTCAGAATAAGATTGTCCATGTCACCTCTGAAGAAGTAAACTTTGCCCTTAGCAGATGGTATAACTATGGACATCATCAAAGAGTTGTGAACAATTGTTGGCACGAAATTATGTGTATGGTAGCTTGGGACAGACAAAATATCTACTCAATAATAAATACCACAATCATATATTAATGCCTCAATTATTCTGGTATCAAAAATGGTTATAAAACTGTCTTTAAGAACTATAGACCCCATTATCTTCTTATACTCATATCATAGTTTTGTTTCATTGAGATCATTGGGAACAATTGCAGAAAGGCCCAGGCGGGGTTAGAAAATACAAATGTTAATCGTATTCTGGTAAGGCCTAATAATTGTTAATTACCAATGTGCCTAGACTTTCATAGATTTACAAAAGAGCACTTGACTCGGTAGAAAATGATGCAGTCATCCAAATGCTCATAAATATACAGGGTGCCTAAAAAAAATGTGAACACTTCTGAGAATTTGCAACAATACCACAAGAAATGTGCCTCCGGGCTCTGGAGACCACCTGGAGAAGATTCCAGGCACGTGTTGACAACGATGGTGAACAATTGGGAGACTCTTTGACTTTTTGAAGCTATTAACATCACATTTGTTATCATGTTACAGTGTGTATTAGCAGTTATTTTGCCATTAAAAACGAAAGTCCCATATAAGTGTTGGAACATTTTTGAAGCACCTTATATATATAAAAATTGCAGACAATAGCGGATAATAGGATGAATTTGCCGCGTGACTCAGAAAATGGAACAGCCACACGAAGATCGTTGGAAAAAATAGCAAAATATTTAAGGGGGAGTCAGACAGTGTGATACGTTTGCACTAAAGTTTATTCATAGCAAAATCAGAAAAATATTTCTTGAGCCTGTGCATACTGCTGGGTGGACAGAGGCTGTGGGGGGCATTTAAGAACCCTGCCCCATTGTTTAATCTGGACTTGCTCAAATTGCAAGTCCGGTGTGGTAACCGTTAACGACCCCTGCAGCATCTCCTTCCACAGAATGGCGTGCAAATAAACACTCCACAAAAGGCCATTCGTGCTCACAGT